TTTTTTGTTGTTGTTGATCTTTGCCGTGATTATTCTGAGACATGTTGGAGTGTTAATGAAGCGACTGTGTTAAAGATTCAACTGTTACAAAATGTTTCTCAGGCGTACCTTTGAATGCTGCAATCTTGAGTGTTGCAAATAAACTGACTAAATGTTTGGGATCCCTACCTATATTTAAGGATTCACATATGATGTCATGTGGCATATGAAGCCTTTGATCTTCATGATGATGTCATATGGCATATAGAATGCCTTTGATCATCATGATGATGTCATATGGCATATAGAATGCCTTTGTTCATTATGATGATGTCATAACATAATGTAACAGTAACATTCTTTTTTTTAAATTTTTTTTTAATTTTGTGCTATTGTATATACTGATGTTGCAGAAGACAGAAACATGCTGTTGTTTGCATACATTTAATAATCACCTCTGCACAGGAGCTGAAGCATTGTCCTGCCTGTTGCTCTTACAGTACTTGCAATAAAAATACAGTAACGGTAATTGGTGACTGAGCAGCCCGGTGCTTTTCTCTTGATTTCTTTAGTCAGGGTAAATTCATTCACCTGCACGGCTTAGCTAAACGAACTGTACAAAACAAGTATCCCCGACAGCCGAGTGCTCATCTTAGCTAGCTGCGTCTCAGGACGTAGCTAGGGACAGTAGTTATGGATTAGCTTACAGATACATTTAACTTACCGAAAAAGTGCGGCGGGGCCTGGGGTCCGTCTGTCGGTTTACTGAAAAACACCTCAGGATGTCAGTTTAAAACAGTCGGTCGTGGTTTTGTAACGTAAACGCTGGACCTCCTCTCAGCGTCCCTGCTCCATCTGCCATTCCCCAACAGAGATACACAAGTTTCTCTGTGACTGCAGCTGCCAGTCAAAGCCGTTATGATGATGTCACACCCCAATTTAACAGCATTGTCATAGTTATTAGAAAAACGTATCAGAAAGGAGACCCATTGACAGTAAATCAGCGAACTACTGATAATAACAGAAAGCATCTTTGGAAAAAAGATTATCTGAGGAGAATTTTGTTTTTATTTTTTATTTTTTTTATACAGCATTGTTTGACAGAAATGAAGGAGAAAATGTTTTGTTAATTTGTTTGTTTTCACATGAGCTTTGTGTGATTTGATAAGTATCTGAGCCTGAGACCACGGGACTGTAAAACATGTTGGGCTTCATTTCCTTGCTGAACAGTCACTTTAAGATTAGTTAGTAAATAAAAATTAGCGAATGTTTATGAGACTAAAGTCATGGTAAAAGGCCTGTATTTGTATAGCGCTTTACACCACATTCAGTGATCCACCCACTCACACACACATTCACACACTGGTGATGGCAAGCTACATTGTAATGTAAATATAGTATGGCCAATATTAAAGTTAGTATCATATTAATCATGATTAATTATTACATCAGTAAACTTGAACTCTGACAAATACTGAGCTTCAGTAAAGATTCAAGTTGCAGTTCTTTATATTTCCTATCACTTTATATCTTCACTCAAAGGCAAGTATCTTTGGCAGTGTACAAATAGATATATTTAAGAGACAAATATTGTTCTTTTAATATGTTGACATTACTAAAATTTTGCTCAGTGCTT